ACACTATACCGCAATAATCTTATTCATTCCGATGGTTCACATGCCGATTATAGTTCTTGGTCAAATCCCCCAGTCGTCGTCTTGGCTGTGTATCCGTGGACGGAGGTGAGTTGGCCATTCAACGTCATCCGTTCTTCCGTGAAATCGACTGGGTCATTCTGGAAGAACGTCGCGTTCGACCTCCGTTCCGTCCAAAAGTGCGCTCTCGCATTGATACGAGCAATTTTGACAAGGTAACCATTCCTGTTTGACACACTACCAAACACGATCAAGGTTTCTCGTGTAAAAAAATGTTCTATGCTAGAAAATGTATTGAACAAACCCAGCGACGGTCAAGTGGTTGCTACCTTACTTACGGTGATAGACCGCTTCACTATCGTCCGGATCAATTCTATCATGCTTGTCTTAGTGGAGTCTTATATGATTTGCCACTCAAAGGGATTGGTTTGTCTTTTGTTGGGTCCACTCAGAGCCTTCTGTCACCAAGCGTGATCTGCAGAGCGAGATTGGACGTTCATAACTCATCGAGAGTCGATGATTGTTCCATCACTTTACGCTACCTTTGATCGATTCACACCGAAGACCCTACACTCCCAAAACTTTCGACAGATACGGTGACATTTTAATTCCATTTTTACTTTTGTGCTAAAACAGAATTTCTCACAAAGAGACAAGGGACTGTTGAGTTGTGATCACTGCATCAGTATATCGTCCCATGATTTGTGTAATTTAATGGGAATAATGTTTATCAAGCGAGACTTCGGGCACTGTCGCTTATTCATTCATTTTGAGTTCACATTATTCGCGGTTGTCCGTCGATTTGGTGACGGTTCCCCTATCACGCGACAAAACTGATGGTAGAATTGGGATCCAAANCCAAATGAGAGGTATGTCGATAAACCAATCACTGAGAATCAGAAGAAAAGGACGTTTTGTTCCACGGTACGCTTATGTTTTTATAGGCCACATGATTCCGCGGATAAACTCTACGGTATTCGCTCCAATGATTTCACTTCTGAGCCATATTTCCCAAAGCCTAACCAATAGCCCTAACCGAAGCCAATGCTGACGCTACCTTCAAATGCCTGCACGACTCCTCTTCTAACCTTGTCTAGCTCGTGCGGAAAAAGTACTTCCAGAGCAGACCTACGCAAAATCGAGCGATTGCTCCGCACATAGCGACAAACGTTGTCATTGCTCATCCAATGTTCCCACCAGGCATGAGCAGTGCTTGGAAGATATCGGTTTTGGAATAATAGTCTAGCATCCCCCAGCGTGAAGGACGCCAGGTCTCGTAACTTTAAAGCAAACACAACGAACTGTGGCAATCTACACGCTTCCCTAAGAGGAAGTCCGATGTCGCAGGTTAAAAAAATGCTGCTCTAGACTTCGCTATTAGTGATGTGACCACTTTCGGCTGCGATCAAGCTCCCGAGGTGCTTTAAGCTATCAATTACTTCTAGTTAATCACCGAAAAGGGTGAGTGCAGCCACAGGCCCCGACCAATCTTGCACTTTGTCTTTGGATAGTGCAAAACAAATGCTATGTCTAAATGCATCTACCACCAAGTGATTTGAAGCAAGTTGGACTATCTGTGTATTGTTACCCAAAAACACCATGTCATTGACATGTTCAAAGTTAAGGTTTCTGTTCCCTGGAAGGAATTCAACTCCACGGTTTGCTATACCGGGCGAAACTTCTCTAGGATAAAGTTGAAAAGAAATGGAGATATGGGACAGTTTTTTTCGCACTCCATTGGAAAATACAACGGATAGCGAAAGTTGATCATATTCTTTGACCCAACCTGAGGTGCGCTGACACAACTGTTGCAGGGTCAACTTACTTCTTCATTTCTCAACAAGCAGTTCGATGAGATTAAACACCACTCAAATGTTTAAGAACACAATGATTATTGATCTTTGGAAAGCATGGTGGAGCTCTAGAATTTGTCGAAGGGTAAAGATTTGATCGACTAATTCACGACCAGCGTGAAGCCCAGCCTGGTCCTCTCGGGTCTACTTTTTAAGCATATTGGACCGTCCGCGAAAAATGACGGAAATCAACAGTTTTGATGCAAACTGAAATAGGCCATCACCGGGGTGATGGAACTGGTGTCTTGGATAGGGTCTCTCGCGTAAATGCTAAAAAAGAACCTAGTACTTCTTTGCTCCGTAGGGTTCGCACTTTGAATATACCTCGTCTTGGGGGACATTGAGCACAGAGGAGATTCAACTGGTAAACGAATTTGGCGAGATTTGGGAGCAAATCCAAGCGAGAGGTACAAGCGCAGTGGTAGGGTTTCCATTTGAGGCACCACTACTGGTACAGTAGTGTCTTAAAATATCACCGCATCGTCGTCCACTTTTTCATTAGGCGGCTACTCTTCCACTCTTTCCAGTACTACCATTTTCCTACTTTTGAATTGTTGTAATTTTTTCCTTCCACACTCCCATGTACCAATTATGGGGTTAATCTCATTCGCCGTGTTCACTGAAGTGACTGTAAACTTTCCACTTGAATGAAGGAGTAGAGAGAAAAATTTAAATTCTGGAAACAGTATCAATGGAAAGATAGAGAATTCGGATTGAATTTGTTTGCAACGATATTAAATACATGTACAAACACCACGCTCCATAGTTCACTTGTGTTATTTTAAACATTTCTTTGTTAGTAGCAACAGCCATGTATTTGTGTCCTATCTTCTGACCACAAGTCTCAATAAATGCGGCTATGTTCATTCATTTCAGGATTTCACCAATGAGGAACCCGTGCTCACTCCCGCAGATCACACAAGTGAACTTGCTGCGGTTGCACAGGATGTATTCGCGGATTTCGACTGTATAAACACGGACTACAGTGTGATGCGTTATCACACGACCAGACCCAGTCAGCAACAACCGTTACGTTCTGTTTGTGGCGGCCTTCATGTGTCCAACACAGTCTTCACTACAGATGAACCGGCCAGTCCACTGACAGCATCCACACGTGAACCATCGGCAACTACTACCACAATCACTGCTTCTTCCGGCACATTGACTCCTATAAAGACCACATCCATTTCCTCCGTTCCGGATCTAGGTACCTTAACCACGACCACCACATCACGCAACGCATCTCCATCACTTACTCAACTCACCATTAGTTCCCCCGGCAGTACTGCTTCTCCAGCGCGTAGTGTGCCCTCATCACCGGTCCATCCGCATCCCCCGGCGATATCCAATTGCGGACCTGACAAGGTGGCTCCCAAATGGCTTGCCGAATAACGGTCCGCATTAGACTATCACCGGTCTAGAGTAATGCGCATTGCATTGGATACACCAAAGCCACAATTGTTTCAGGCATGATGTTGGTATACATCCCGTTCGCGTTTTCAAACTACTACCGATGTTTCTGATTTCATTCCCACCGTTTGACAAGTGTTTATTTTTTCTGTCTGTCTATGTGTGTATCAGTGTGTCTGTCCTTCTCTGTGTTGGTTTTGTATGTGTGTGTGCGTGCGTTCGTGCGTAGGTAGATAGGTGCTTGTCTCACATCTCAGTGAAAGCCAAGCTTATTATGCGCGCCCACACCAAGACACACGTCGCACGACGCTGTTCGACATCTGTGATGCACGGATCAGTGCCGCTGTTTTGGGTTTTCATTCCCTTCGCGCACACACAACCAAACAACTGCTCGCTATCTTATTCATCCCTCACTTGTTCTGTGGCATTGGGTCAACCTGTTCTCAGTCACTCCGTTTGCCTGTCCTCTACGCGCAACTGTTTCCGTGCTTGTTGGCGTGTCTTTGGTTTAATTTTCGTTTTGTCTTTTTTTCATTTCTTGCGCACCCGCTCGTTGTTCTTCGTTCGATCTCCCTTGCCACCTGATCCGTGGCTGCGCCCACTCCATTTAACCCAATCCCCGGCCGTGCGTGATTTGTGTGCATATTTCCACAAAACTGTAACTGCATATCTGAACCAATGAACCAGTTACACTATCCGGAGTTGACCCTGTTCCTCCATCCCTCCTCACGTCGGGATCTGGTGACGAAGGGTTACTCGAGCCAGACGACAGCTTAGTCTGTGATCATTGAGGGCTGTTCATTCATTTCTTTTTCCACATTGACACTATCTGATCTTGAACGGGAGTTTAGAATCTCTTATGTTCTCTTTCTCGCTCCGTCGCGATGCAGACATTCACTTAGTTCTCGTCCATCTGTTTGCGGGCCTTGATTGCTCTTGACATCTCCCATGATCGTTGCTGGGGGACACTTATTAGCCCTTTCTCGATCGTGCACCGGCATGACACATAAGGGAGTCTGAAATAAAGCTCGCTCGCTTGCGTTTATTCTTCGTTCTCAGGCTGACTGTTGGATACTCATTACCCTCGTTCTGGTTGTCCCCAGACAAGGAATATACCACTCCCGTGGTACTTCTCCCTTGTCCTCTGTATGTTTGTGTGTGAGACCAAGGTGTGTTGCGTGTGTACGGATTCTATGGTCTGCCAATTTTCCAGCTCCGGTATGCACGTGGCGTTCTTCAACTTGTACATTATTTTGCAGTGATCATTCACACTAGATATCTCTCTCGTTAATCTATTCGCATATTGTTTGTGTACTCGTACCCGAATCTGCTCGTCCACAGCACCTTATTCGAAGCTTTGCGCGCGCGTTCCTTTCTGTAATTAGTCATAATTTTGATTTCCACTTCTCTCATCATGGTTTCTCACAAATGTGTCGTACAGTGGACGCATTCAGTAACTGAAGTGTTCCCTCTCTTCCAATTGATGCATTTCAATCATATACGCCTTCCGTTTTCTCGTGCGTTGCGATTGTCGTAACTGCATCAAGCATAATCGATTACCATCCCATTCAGAGCTTCACACAAACACTGAGCTTATCTCTAATGACTGCCACCGAATGCATTCATCCTTTGATTTGGCCGATCGTGATCTCGACCTCTGACGTTCGTGTTTGCCTAGCTCTCTCTCTCTCTTGTGCACAGAAGCTTTCTCTGGGTTGTACAGGATATTTGCTGCGCAAGCAACCATAGGAGTGATCGCTGAAATAGAATCAACTATACAAACCTACTGCTTCCGGATATTTAGCGTTCAGGGGATGTACACTGTTACACTAAAGAACATGTCCCTGAAGCGATCGAAGATGTGAGAGATAGAGACCGAGACTCGAACTTCTGTTGCAACACTCCATATCCTTTTTTTCTTCCGTGATTTGTTCGTGATTACTATCCTCTCTAAAATATTTACTTTTGCTTAATTTGAGACCAAACACACTTTGTGTCCTCGATTGACCCTCATGCATTAACCAAGTGCCCAATTTCGAAACTTCATCTATGCTTGATTTTGTTCAGTGTTGTTTGTCTCCTCTTTTTGTTCCGCCATACTAGTCATATTGTTTTTACCGTCTGTCCATTCACTCGCTCCTTCCCATCTGATTTTCGTCCTGATTTGAAACCAACTATCTCCTACTTACACGTGTCTTCGAAAGTAGTTTGCACAGGTTAAGGGTTGCTCGCGTTACTCTGTCTCTTTGTCTCCAACTGTTGCGCCCTTCGCTGTCTGACTTTCTTTATCCCACTCTGAGCTACTAACACAAATACATACACTTATGTGACTCAAAGAACATTATTACGAAACTTCTTGTCTTCAGTGAGTTCCTATTTCTGTTGGAAATTCTGGTCACTATACATATATACATATATATATGCATATATATTTATATTTACTACGGTATTTCACTTGTCCATATAGATTCTTGCCCGGCTGGGCGTTATCCTACACCGTCCGGTCCACTGTCCCCAATGCTGCATACCCCTGTCGTTTGTCCTCTATCTCCCACCCGTCCTTCTCTCATTGCTCTGATTCTCGCTATTTCATCCCCTCTCTCTTCTATCTCTTCCACTCTACGTGTGTGCTGATGCAGGCATTTTGTTCTGTGAATTGCCTGTACGTGTTGCTGCCGGACACAATGATGGTACGGATGCAGGCATTTGATCTCTGTTTGTTTTTTCTATTTTTCCAGCAATTTCATGGGCACGTGTCAGATTTACGGTTAATATCGGGCTTTGAATGAAGCTGGTAACTTCAAGGTGGGAAACATTTATGCAGTGCCTCCAGATTGGCTGTTCATCTTTTTATTGTCTCCAGGACGGAGAATCCGGTCCATACGGATCAAATTCAAATTTTTACTGAGTAATTTAAAACGTTGAAGCTTATTGAATCCCATAAGATCTGCACGCACCAAAGTTGGCTCGTACGTAGTACAATAAAAAAAACCCTATGATTTCCACTCTCGGGTACTGGACCGTTAGGTGTTTCAATACTTCATCGGGCCACCACTGGAATGAATCGATGTTTGGAGCATAAACAACTTGAGGTGGAAGAGAACTCCAGGTACTTACGCACTCGGAAACTGGAAAAGTGATGCCGGTAGTCTAGTTGACTCTTTTATAGCAACAGTTTACCGGGATATTCCCTGAGGCGGTCAAACATAGATACTTTTAGCAGAGTACTACACCGGTGGTTAGGTTGGTCTGATATTTGAATTTGCGCAAATCGTGTCTCCCCGAATTCGGCGGATACAGAGTCAGAGTTTGCAACGTTTCAGCATATGTCTTGGATCGTGGCCCATTGACTTTTGTTTCCAGTAATTTTTTGTCATGACTTAACCATGGATTCCAAATTTGAATAGCTTACTCGGTATACGGATAGCAAACAGAGCAATGGGTTTTTTCAAACAGTCCAAAAAACGTTTGAGTAAACCAACTTGCTTCAAAGCCATTGATGGCACTCTAACACAATGTGTGGAGAGCCCTAGATCCTCGCGAACCATTTCATTCAGAACCAAATGGGAATTCGGTATTCCGGAAGAACCATTTGTATTTCTGCTGGTTTTGGAAATTGGGAGGTCATCTGTGGATGAAATAATGATATCTTTCATTTAAGATCTAAAAATAAGTGATCGCCACAGCGAGTGATCAGTAGCTTGTTTCTGCCTATTGTTTGCATATCCGTTACGTATTACATCACATGGTGAACGTTTCATATCCTCTAGATCGTCGCACAATAAGTTTAACCTCGGCTAGTGGTAATAATCGAGCATTTGTGAGGTGGGTAAGCAGAAGAAAATAGTGGTCGGTACGATCTCTACCTATACACAACCGCTTCTTCGAGCAATCTGCTATAACGCGAACCTCTACCATGTTCGCTAGTGTTTCTAACCAGTTAGGTACAGAATCTTCCAAACCGCAGTCCGAGAAAGATGGGAGGCATCCGATTTCACTGTATGATCTCTTATGCCTCATTTCCACGTCATCTGTTGACCTCTACGGTAGAGCCATAATTGCAAGCAAATCACGGTGCTGTAGACCACTGCTATCCTCGCGCAATATTTGTTATAATCTAAGAAACCTCCGGGCTTACATTCATTTTGACAACGCGACTCGTCTATCTTTCTAGACCATGTGCTCCAATACAACTACAGAAGAAAACCAGTCAACAGTTATCTTCGACACGCATCGTAGTCCATTCCCGATTGTTCAGCTGCAGGTAGGGATGATCCAGACTCATTCTTAGCATCACTTTGAAAGTGCATGTCGACATGTGCAACAGAACTTGTTAGTTTATCAAGTGCACGTTGAGGATCTTCCATAAGTTCGATATCACAAGCATTTATCCAGTTGCCCACCAAATACTACGATCTTGGATATCGTGATATCGATCAGTGTATGCGGCTTAGATAGAAATACCTGACATCTAAGACCTAATGATTTAAACCGTCTAGCGTCTCTTACGACAAGCATCTGATATCTCCGGCGTTCTCTGTCGACTATTTCCAGTCGGGGAATTCATTTTTTAAGAAAGCATATCAAAATCATGCGGTGAAGTACCGTAAAACTTGATGGTCATGCCTTTGTGTTTGTGTATCTTTGCAGTGTATTGATATGTATCAGTCGCGTTTCTAGTCGGACACAGTAACAGTAAAAAGAAGCATGCTTTTTTGAGGGTCGCACGTTTTATTCAAGCGCATGCTCCACAGCAGTGTTATTCACTGGATCCAGGTTTATAGTCAAAATGAAAATCGGGACAGTTGTTGCTTGTCTGTGGTGACAGACATACACACCCTGCTTGACGAGCTTCTGATTCGTCGAGTTCCTAAGTTTGAACACATCTCAGTGTAAACCAACGGATAAAGTACTAGGAAGCTATCTCCTGCCTGTCAGAAAATTCGATGTGACAAAGGGAGCTCCCTCCTTAACTTCCATGCGCCCATTTGAAAGATGACTATTCACTTTTCGATTGGTGATTCAGTTCATCAAGTTGTACCAGTTGCTGAAGTATTGCGATCCCAACAAAGTGTCCTACTTTTATCAAAGTCTGTTCCTCAGAAACTAGGTATTTTTCTTTTCGTTTTACTTCCTTTTATCGAATACGCAAATATACAATTTTCAGGAGTGTGGGAAGCGGCCAAACAAAGGGCTACCATTCAACACAATGGGAAAAGTTGGGCCGTGATGATGGGATTCGAACACGCATCCCCGGAGTGATAATTTGGTGACGTTACCACCGCCCGCATATTCTTTCGTTGTGTGGTGCCTAAAATCAACCAGTGATGAACGTCTATAAATCCACTTGCTTTAATCGGTTTGGTTTTGCTAACTGTAACTCAGTTCTACGGATCTGATTGCGACAAAATAGTTTATTTTACTAGTGCCCGCGCCCAATAGTGAAACGAATGCGTCGCTCTGCTTCCCAATAAAGAAATCAGCAAAGCGGTTAGAATACCCCCATCAAGTGGCAGCAATGTAATAGCACAGCGATAGACTCTATCGAATGGTGTTTTCGACCAAACTAGTTGACCTCAGCGTATCCGTTCGTCGCTGCTTCTCCGTCCATTCATAAGTCTTACTATGCGATCCAGCAGCATGTTCATTGGGTTGGGTCAACCAGTTGTAAAAATTTTGCCTTCAAGATGACACCTAGCAGCACGGGTCGAACACGAACGGATCAGTTTGAGGGCTACACTAACAACCAGTTCATCAAGCCAGCCGCAGAGAACACCTGTGTCATCCATTGCTCGCAGACTATCCACCAAACCGAGTGCGGGACTTCTTTTAGGGTTGTTTACACAACCGCTAATGGTCTGCTGCTGATATTTGCAGAGGCCATAGCACTTAGGCGCCGAAAGTCCCTACTTTGTCAGCAAAAGGAGGTCTACATCAGTCTGCCATTGCCCTGGTAACCATGTAAGCGGATGCTAGATTATTAACCCCTGCGATATGTAAACTGTATTCTGCTGTAAGCACCAGCTGAGATGCAGCGAAATTATTCCGGAATTAACTCATGCTCGCTTGCAATGTTGTATTCTTTGTCCAAGTTTACTTCAGGAAATAGTTGCCTTACTTTAATCATAGTCGATCTGTTTGCTCCGGGTGAAACGGTTCGAAGAAGGCCTACCAATGTTTCCCACACTGGTAGTCTCCTTGTAGACCGTGTATAAATCGCCACTCAGGTAACCAGAACCCGCAGGATTTATCCTTTCTACTGTTCATTATTCTTATTGATTTGAGCTGACTATCCTTCGGACTTCACCTTCACGTACAATCCTCTGTTCATCGATTNCGGTATTGCATATCCACTGTATCCTCCGGGATTTCAATGATAATGCTATATATAATTGTGATCCTCGATGACTCATTGGTTCGATGGAGGCCGCCGGGACATGTCCACTTGTGCAAGGTTCTTATAAATAA